TCATTTTCGGTTTAATCAGAAATTATAGGAAAAAACGACGCGTTGGGTGTACGTACGCGGGTGACGTGATTTTAATCTTGGGCAGGAAAGCCGGGTCATTTTCGGTTTAATCAGAAATCTTAGGGAAAAACGACGCGTTGGGTGTACGTACGCGGGTGACGTGATTTTAATGTTGGGCAGGAAAGCCGAGTCGTTTTCGGTTTAATCAGAAATCTTAGGAAAAAACGACGCGTTGGGTGTACGTACGCGGGTGACGTGGCGTTAGCTCTTGGGCGGGCAAGGCGAGTCGTTTTCAGTTTAATCGGAAATCTTAGGAAAAATGACGTGTTGGGTGTACGTACGCGAGTGATGTGATTTTAACTCTTGAGCAGGAAAGGCGAGTAGTTTTCAGTTTAATCGGAAATCTTAGGAAAAATAACGCGTTGGGTGTACGTACGCGGGTGATGACGTGATTTTAATCTTGGGCTGGAAAGCCGAGTCGTTTTCGGTTTAATCAGAAATCTTAGGAAAAAACGACGCGTTGGGTGTACGTACGCGGGTGACGTGATTTTAATCTTGGGCAGGAAATACGAGTCGTTTTCGGTTTAATCAGAAATCTTAGGGAAAAACGACGCGTTGGGTGTACGTACGCGGGCGACGTGATTTTATTGTTGGGCAGGAAAGCCGAGTCGTTTTCGGTTTAATCAGAAATCTTAGGAAAAAACGACGCGTTGGGTGTACGTACGCGGGTGACGGGATTTTAACTCTTGGGCAGGAAATACGAGTCGTTTTCGGTTTAATCGGAAATCTTAGGAAAAATGACGCGTTGGGTGTACGTACGCGGGTGATGTGATTTTAACTCTTGAGCAGGAAAGGCGAGTAGTTTTCAGTTTAATCGGAAATCTTAGGAAAAATAACGCGTTGGGTGTATGTACGTGGGTGACGGGATTTTAACTCTTGGGCGGGCAAGGCGAATCGTTTTTAGTTTAATCAGAAATCTTAGGAAAAACGACACGTTGGGTGCGCGGGGGTGACACGGTGTTAATTCTTGGGCGGGAAAGGCGAGTTATTTTCGGTTTAATCGGAAATCGTAGGGTGAGGCAAGTGCTGATTTTCGTTTAACCAATAACTTCAAGCAAAGGCAATTGTTGCTGTCGGTGTAACGAACAATATTATGGCAAGGCAAGTGTTGCTCCTGGTCTAATCAAATAAATAATATGGAGACGAGGCAAGTATTGTGTTCACTTTAATCAGAAATTGGGGCGCAAGGCGATGCGGAACCAGGGTGAGCTGAGGTGACATGTGACAGTTACCAATGTGGCACATGGGCTGATTTTCGCTTTTACCAATTATTTCAAGAAGGCAACTGTTGCCGTCAGTTTAATCAATAATATTAGGGCGAGGCAAGTGTTGCATTCAGTTTAATCGGAAATTGCGGCGCAAGGCGATGCGGAACCAGGGTGAGCTGAGGTCACATGTGACACTTACCAATGTGGTACATGGGCAGACTGAAAGCCCCAGCGATCTGCTCCACCATCATATATCGTGTCAGACGTTCGTTGCCGCTCCAGTGAAAAATGCCAGATAGCGACGGATCCTGTAATGAAAGAGAGAAGACGCCCTTTAAAATGGATAAACCTCACAACAAAAAACCTATATATAGACGTTTCTGTGAGCATACTTGCAGTGTGCAAACAGCACGAGATGTTCTCATTGAGCCAGAGCAGTGCTACAAACGTTGGGATTTTCAAAATTGCGTCCGACGTTGTTACGCTACTTTCGTAAGAGAAGTAATTTCGTTTAGATTTTGAGAAGAAATGTTATGAAAGTAGAAATACAAATGAGTTCTAGTGAATTTTTGCAACATAGACGAGCTTACACATATATATATATATAGGTCTATATATGCATTTAGCTGCGAAGTTTTGCAACTTTAACTTACTGACTTTACAGA